TAACTAATTAGATGTGATAATTGAAAATTATTATCTAAAAGAACTTGTTCATATCTAATTTTAATAACTACAATACATGTTGCTTTTATATATGGGGGTGAGTCAACAGAAACCAAGCAAATTATATATGTAATACATATATAATTTGCTTGATTTCTGTTGACTCACCTCCATGTGTTCAAACTATATTTCATCAGCTATATAAATTCATATTTACTAATTTTATTAATTTCAGTATTCGCTTATTTGGAGGTGAGTTAACAGAAACCAAGCAAATTATATATGTAATACATATATAATTTGCTTGGTTTCTGTTAACTCACCTCCATTTGTTTACTCATTCATTTAGTTATTCATTTGTTTGTTCGCTCGTTCACTTGCTTATTCACTTGCTTGTTTGCTTGCTTGTTCACTTGCTTCACGTAATTTGATTTTTATCCAATAAGATATAAAATATGTATAATTTAATAATATGAAATATTATAACAAAAAATCATTATATAACACTATAGAAGAGTTTGACTATATTTAATAATTAGTTCTAGATTCTTTAAATATATTTGTAATAAAACCTATTAAAATTATATTAAATAAAGTGATTAATTAATAAGAATATTTGAATATATTTATAATAAAGTCTATTAAAGTTATTATTATAATTCTTAAATTTGTTTTTGAATTATATTTATTATAATATGAATATTATAATTTTTATATCTTTGACTTTAACTTTGATATTTTGAGAATACTTTTTAGCTATACAGATTATTGCATCAAAAGAATACAACTATTATTAATTTTTAAGTGATTTTATCATTAGTACTTATTTACATTTAGTCTAATAGTTATAAAATATTATTATATTTTAAATTATTGTTAAGTTTTCTTTAAATATTTCTTCAAATTTTATAAATATCTTTAAGTATTTTAAAATGATAATAATATTTATTATTTTATTATTACAAATAAAATATATATAATATATATGTTAAATATATATCACTATACTAAAAAAATACATGAAAAAGAAAAGTTTCAAATCTTTGATTCAGATTTATTATATATCATTACTCTATCTTTTGATAATTCTAGTATTTTATTTGATATTCTAACTTATTTATATAATATATCTGTTTAACATAAAAATTTGTAAAATATATGTACTTATATTATATAATACTATAATTTTTTATTTAATTTGAAAAGTATATCTATTAATTATTGCTTTTATACTAATAATATATGTAAATAAAATTCAAAAAGACTAAAGTAACAATAAAAGACTAAAAAATATTACTTATATACAATAACAAAAATGATATAAGCAAACCTAAAATATTTGTACATGTTAAATTATCAAAAAAAAGTATAATATGAAAAAAAGATAATATTAATAATAGATAAATAAATAAATCAATAATATAGTATAATATACTAATTATTGTATTAATAAATCAATAACTAATAAAATTATATAATTAATAATTAATTACATTTACATATATTTTATTTTATTTCTTTAATAATAATTAATTATAATTATTGAGTTTTTTTATAAAAAGATATTGTTCTTATCTTCAAAAAAATTATTATTTATTTAAAATAATAACAATAATTTTCTCTCTATTATTTTTTTAATATTTAATACTTTGATATATAGCTAATGATCATTTAAAAAAGTTTATTTTTTTCACTTTTTTAATTCTTTATCTTACTTCTAAAAGTTTAAAGACAAATAAGATTATATATTACAATTTTTTTGAAAATGAGCTTTAGTTAAAATAATAATAAAAATACTATATTGTACATATGATTAAAGTTGTTTAAACTTTTTATTTTTTATCATTTATTATTTTTATTTATTTTAATTCTAATAATTTTATAAAAATATATTACAAAATATTTATAGAAGTATAAATAATATAGTGATACCTATTATAATAAATAATATTGAGATTTGAAATAATTATCACTTTCAAAAATTTATTATTTTATACTATAATCTTTTATTTATTTGTTTATTTTTTATTTATTATTTTTTATTAATTTGATTAAACTTTGTATAAATAAACAAAAATAATAAATTATATATATAGTAAAATAATTTAAATTTTATTTTTATCTTATTTTATCATATAGTTTTTATTTATATAATTAATTAATTAATTAATTATTATTTTAATTAATTATATAATTTTACAAAAGCTCAATTTTTTTAAAGAGATAAAAATATTATAATCAAAATATTCTATAATATAGTTATTTTATTAATAATTAATCACTTTTTTAATAATTTAATTTAATTAAATTATTTATTTATTAATTATTTATATTTTTATTGGATAAATTTGAAATTATGTGACTTTTATATATGATATGTGATTTGAACATGTGATTTTTATATGTAATTTGTATATATAATTTTATATATAATTTATTATTTATTATTATAATTTATATAATTTATATAATTTTTATAATTTACATAATTTACATAATTTGTATAATTTATATAAAACTTTACAAACTTCATATATATATTATTTATTATAAAACAAATTAGATCTAATATATAATAAGTTATAGCAATTAATTTAACTAATAACTTAAATAAAATATCTTTAATAAAATATTTATTATTTAATTATTATTATTAAAAATATATACAGTTAAATCTCATTATAAATATTACTCTCAAAAAAGCAAAATTTAATGAATATAAAAAGAATGTAACTATAGAAAAATTTTTTACTATATTTATATATAAATAGAAAAGCAAAACAGAATAATTATAAATAGATATAATTATAAAGAGATTTAATTATATTATAATAATTACACTAAGTAGATAATAAAAAATTATTAGTAATAATAATATTCTATTTTAATAATAAAAGATATATTAGTTGTATATGAATTCTGAAATTATATAATTTATTATAGATTAATTTATGAAAGATATAATACAATAAATATAATTAAAAACAAGTCACAATTAATAATAATAATACCAAAAAATCTGATTATGATATCATATCACTAAATATTGAGATATTATATTCTAAAGTAATTATTTTATTATAATTGGAGTATAAAAGTTATGAAAATATAATATTTGATATAAAAGCTTTATTAATTTATAAAAATATTAATAATTAGTATTTGTAATATTCTTTGTGCTCAAAAGATTATACATAATTTTCATAAAGTTATTATTTATAATAGTATTATAAATATTCTATAACATAATTATTTTATTAATAATTAATTATTTTATTATATTTAATATTTTTAATTATTTAATTTAATTAATTTAATTATTTATTATTTAATTATTTAATTTATTATATTTTTATTGGACAAATTTAAAATTATGTAACTTTTATATTCAATATATGATTTTTATATATATAACTTGTATATGTAATTTATATATGATTTATTATTTGTTATTATTTATATAATTTTAATAATTTATACAATTTGCATAATTTATATGATTTGTATGATTTACATAATTAAATAATTTATATAAATTTATATTTTTTATAATTTCTTGTAATTTCTATAATTTCTATAATTTTTATAATTATTATAATTATTATAATTACTTTAATTATAATCAAATCTCTTTATAATTATATTTATTTATAGTTATATTTCTCTATAATCACCCTATTTTGCTTTTCTATTTATATATAAATATAATAAAAAATCACTCAATAATTACATTTTCTCTATATTATCAAATTTTGCTTTTCCAAGGATGATAATTATAAAGAGATTTAACTATATTATAATTATCATTATTATTATTATGTTTATTATTAGCAACTATTAATATAATCAATATAATATTTAAGTAATATAAATTAAATATAAATATTGTTGTTTTTGTATCTATAGAAAAATAAGTTATAGCAATTAATCCAATTAATAACTTAATAAAATTATCCTAAAAACATATTACTTTTGAAAATATATAATTATTGATATTTTTATTATTTATTGTTTTTATTAATAAAATAGTTATTAGTATAAGTTTGATTTTTATGTATTTTTATTCAATAAAATCATCTTATATATACTAATACTATTTTGATAATATTATACAAACTATAACACTTTTATTATAATATTGTTTGCTAACTAATAATTCATATTATGACTGAGTTTAGCTATCTTGACATAATATTTATTTATATTTTTATAATTTCACCATGTAAAAACTCACTTATAATAATGGAAATTATAATTAGTTAATTATATAAATATAATAATTAGTTGATTCTATATATAATAATAAAAATCAGATAATAAATAGCACTTTCTTATTAATATTATATTATAAAAATAAAGAGTTTTAATTAATTAAATTAATTATTATATATAAATTATAATTACAAAAAATTATATTATTAAATATTTGTTTAATAAGAATTATAATATAATGTATTTTTTTTGTATAGCATAATATTAATTTAATAAGCAGTTAGAATTTTTCAACAGTATATCACATGAACAATTTCTAATTGGTTGGATTTCTTTTATGATTTTCTTTTGTTAGCGAAAAGACCTAATTATAATCTGTGCTCGGTTCGCGATCACATGATAACAAACCAATAAGAATGAATCATATATATGCTAACAATTATTAAAGGTTGATTTTTAAAGTGAAAACAAACTTATACGTAAAAATATCTCCCCGACATTTTCACATTTTTCATTCATCCTTATTGGTTTGTCATGTGCATGTGATCAGGAACCAAGCACAGATTATAATTACGCAGCGGGAGACAGTTTTACATATATCGATATATATATATCGATATATATATAATCTTAACCTCAAATCTAACCCAAATCCTTAACATTGTGTTACCGATCTACAAACTTGTCCCAAAATTAAATGCCGATTAGATCGAGATGATCATTTGTTCTAATAAAAGCTTTCTATCTTGTTTTACGTTGATTCTTTAACAAGTCTAAATCAATATAATATGAGTGCCGCTTGTCCTCTTTATGCACCATTTTTTGGTTTCGCTGGAGTCGCTTCGGCGGTAAGCTAATTTTTAATTAATTTACTCATGCAAATTCCGATTCTTTTTGTTACTCATGATACAATTACTTTTTAATGTTTTAAATGGATCTAGATGGTTCTTAGCTGTAAGCATATTTATTATCTTTATATACCACTACCTAGTTCTGTACAAAATCATTTTCAATTGTCCTTTTCCAACACTTATTTTCTTTCTATTACAATAATTTTAAGCTATTGGGGCGGCATATGGAACTGCCAAAGCTGGAATTGGAATTGCGGGTATGGGAACTTTTAAACCTGAACTCATTATGAAGGCAGGTGCAATATCCCAAAAAATTGTGATTTTGACTTCTAGTCTCATCAATCAACGATATCTAAAACTAGTGAAATTTCGAAAATTCTAGTCATTAATCCCAGTTGTAATGGCGGGTATTATAGCAGTCTACGGCCTGGTAATTTCCGTTCTCATAGCCGCAGCACGTAAGAACATTATAAATATCTAATTATTTTTTTTAATTAATAATAGCAAATATTGAAATATATTTGATTTGACAGTTGCACCGAATAGTTCTTATTCTTTATTTGCGTGAGTATTGTTATAATTAATTATTATTAAAAAAATCAAATATTTATTTATTATCTCGTTAAAACAATCATAAGAGGATTTATCCATTTGGGAGCTGGACTTGCTGTTGGATTGTCTGGTATGGCAGCAGGATACACTATTGGAATTGTTGGTGATGCTGTAAGTCGACATCTATTACGATTGAATCATTTTTTTTTGACCATTTCTTTATTAACCGAGTTTGCATTAGTGTGTGAGAGGATATGCACAGCAATCACGTCTTTTTGTCACTATGGTTTTGATCTTAATTTTCGCAGAAGTGCTGGGTCTGTATGGACTAATTGTTGCCTTGATTTTAAATACAAAAGCAGATAGTTCTTGTTGAGCATTTATTGGTACAATTCCGAAGACAGTAGAAAAAGAAAGGGTTTTAATTTATTAAATATTTTTTCTCAAAAATTCGTTTTTATCTCATTCATCATACATAATATTGTGCTGTATTGCTGGTAAGTATTTTTTACGGAAAAAAAAATATTTTCTCATTTTGTATAATAATTATAGATATGATCATCAGTTTCGATGTATTGTAAAACAGGATATCACAAACCTTTTGATTATCGTAATATTTCAGATCGGTAGTTTCGAAAGTGTCTTCAATTAAAAGAGCAAGTTCCAATTCTTGTATAAGCGCGTTTAAATATTTCATTTTTCTTCTGCAGTCTCATTAGAATCCTGGTCGTTCAATGCTAATTTCTCAATTCCCAGTTCTGTTTTCAATTGTTGCTCTACTTGTCGCAGATTTTCCACTTCCTTTTCTAACGAATCGCACGCAAATTGAACTTGCAAAGTTTTACCAACTAAATCTGACCAACTCGACTCCAACATTTCAAGTCTTTTTCCTGCTTGTAACTTGTTTGGAAGTATATAGATTAAAAATATGTTATCTATCAGTTACAAACAATAAATATTAATAACATATAATTACTTGTTCTGCCTTTCTCTCTTTATTCACTTCTAAGATTTCTTGTTTATATTGTTCTAAGGTACCTTGCAACTGTTTTAACTCTTGTTCAAGTTGAAAATTGTGGAGTCGCCATGCATTTGCTCCATACTTATGTAATAATTCCATATTTAATAGACTGCAATATACATATTAATATAAATTATTAAAAATGTTTCTTGATACATAAATATGACAAAGGAAACTTAATCACTTGAATACCGCAAGTTTTGTTGTTCCAATTGAGCTTTTGAATTATCCGCTGCTTTTTTCCATGATTCAACATTGCTGCTATCTTGCGGTGGTTCAAGTTTATATCGATTAGTATCTATTTGCTCCATAGGTTTCCCTAACTGGACACGCTGTAACTCTGCTGCGAGCATAGGTGAATCCTAAATATTTGAAATAATTAAGTTTATGCTTTAGATTGACAGGCTCGAGGTATATACTTATGTTTATCGATCGAACAAGTATTCACATACATACTTTAAAAAGCTCAATTGTCGCTGGGAAATTTGGCGGATCTTTTTTCGTTCTTTTGCGCCTTTCCTGTTCTACTAATTTATCAACTTGTTCGCGCATACCTATAAGGGAATTTCGATTAATATATATAAAAAATTTGGAGTAAGCTCACCTGAGGTTTACTAACCCTCATAGTTAATTTCATTATCGATATCTAAAAATAGTTGTAGAGAAAAAGTCGAAATTTCAATTAAAGGATTCTTGAAAAGATAAAAACACATTATAGCATACATGGCAAAGAATCTACGACCACATTTGGGGTAAAATCACTAGCTTCCATAGTTTTGATGGCAAATAAAGAAAATAAGTATAAAATTCAATTAAGGGATCGGCACATATTAATATTCAAATTTCATTCTTTATGACTCATGTTCTATTTTTATAGTTTCCATATAAAAATAAAAATATATTTAAAAATTTTGTTAAATCAAAAATTGGCATAATTATAAATAAATATTAGATTATTTAAAGATAAATAATGTGTATTCATGTTGTAATCAACTAAAATAAAATCTAATCTTCAATAATAAACTTAAAATTACAACTTTAGTAATATATAAAGAGAATTTAACCAGAATTTATATTTAGTAGTAATATACTCTATTATGAAATCGTGCATGTGATTTTATTAATAAAATTGAAATTTTTGTCTTATATAATAATTTTTGATTTTATTAATAAATATTTTTATTTTTATATCAAAACAAGTTACAATAGCAATCAAAAAGAATGGAATACTAAAACAAATTTATTAATAAAACATAGTAAAAATATGAAAAATGCAAGTTTTTCTCTTTATATAAAAGTTTTTAATTTTACTAATAAATATTTTTTATTTTTATATTAAAATAAAGATAAT